ATTGCTCTAAGCAGTGTATCTCCCTAGAGTAGGTGGGTGTATTACCCTCAGGTAAGTGTACTGCATGTAGGTCTTTCTACTGTTGGGCAGAGAGCCAATCCATGGGAGTGAATTCAATTCTAGGTCTGAAGGGTAAGCCCCAGGCTATAGTCTTGGTGCTTCCACCAGACTCTATCCAAACAGTAATTCTGATAATTTTTGTGTTTTTGAATTCTGTTCCACATCTCTCCTCCCATTCTATCCAGGATCTCCAGTTTTGATCCCTTTTCGAGTGGTTGGCATTGGTAACTAGGCACCACCTAGTTCTGGTCTCAAGGTCCATCATATCCCTGGACTGTTTCCAGATGCCTTTGATATTCTCCACTCTTCTTTGCTTCAGATGAGAGGACACCAATAGTTGCGTCTTAGATGGCTGCTGGAAAGCTTTTAAGATCCCAGTTGTTACTCACCAAAGTAGGTTGTGGAACAAGATATTTATGTACTATGTTGTGCCAGTTGAGCTTGGTGTCCCTCAAGACTATGGTCCCAAGTGGGCAGGCCTGGTGATTCTCTCTCTCTGGTTGTCTCTGACACGTTACTCCAACTCTGTCTTCTGTTGCTTCTGTAATGTGTGTGGCTAATTTTGTAGCACAAGTGCATATGTAAAATTATCTTCAGCTAAATCTATTCTTGACTTTTAAAGTGAGAGTGGGTGTGTGGCTGGTATGGGGGCCAAGATTCTTCTGTTGCACTTGTGAAATAAATAAGAAAGCTCTTTGTTGTTGTTGTTGTTATGTGCCATCGAGTCGGCCCCGACTCATAGCGACCCCTCCTTGGGTTTCCGAGGCAGTATCACTACGGAAGTAGGATTGCCCAACCTTCCTTCCGAGGAGTGGCTGGTGGGTTTGAACCGCCAGCCTTCTGATTAGCAGTCAAGCGTTTTAGCCACTATGCTACCAGAGCTCCCAAGAAAGCTCTATGGATCTAAAAAAGACCAGGCTAACTGGTCTGATAGAGACTGGTGAATCCCCCGAGACTATGGCTCCTAGTCACCCTTCAGGCCTGGAATTGAACTCACTCCTGTGGCTTCCAGCCAAACCATAGACAGGCCTACAAAGTGAGCAATTACAAAAGGTAGGTACACTCCATGGAACAATCAACCGTGAGAAATCAGAATGGCAGCATTTGCCCAGGGAGATACTTCAGAGGGCAGGAATTCATAGGAAAGGACAGGAAGAGAGGTGTTAAATTATAATGATTGCAATCAATGTTATGAAACAAAATGTGTATGAACAGTTGAATGGAAAATGAATTTGCTGTGTAAACCGTCACCAAAACCACAGTTTAAAAAAAGAAAACCTGTGGGTCACAATGTTTCATCCACAATTGATTATGGGGATGGCTCAGGCCAGGCAGCATTTTGTTGTACATGGGGTCACCGTGACTCAGGGGCTGACTGGGCAGCAGCTCCCAATAGGAAAAAATATAAGAAACATTGCCTTGCCTAGGCCCTGTCTGCCTCTATCTCATAATAAGGATCTCAGAATGACTGACCTGAGAACACGCTCCAAGGATGAAAAGGGAATGCTAATATGGTACAAATCTATCCAGCCCTCAACGTTCTGCTTTCACTCGTCCCTATCATGTGATGTGTGCCCCACACATCTAATTCACAGGCAGCCATCTTTGTGGAACCTGTGGTCAGAAATCACAGTGGCCACAGAGTTCTTGAGGTATAAGGATGCCAGGGGCATATGATCCACCAGTCTCCCCTCCCACCCAATCTTGTAGCCCCAAGTCTGTTATAAAAAGTCCACCCCAAATACTTGTGGGCTAGTTGATGATATAGTTATTTATGGATTGTTGTGTTGTCGTTGTTGTTATGTGCCATCGTGTCGGACCCGACTCATAGCAACCCTTCCTTGGGTTTCTGAGGCAGTATCACAATGGAAGTAGATTGCCCTATCTTCCTTTAGAGTGGCTGGTGGATTTGAACCTCGGCACTACAGAGCTTATGGATTAGACCATTTTAAATCTGAAAGATTAAAGTGAATATGTGTGCATAGCACTTAGTTAATGGATAAAATATTGCTATCATGCCCATCTGCAATACATAAATGAAAAGTACCTACAAGTTGGTAAAATATATTTTATTTGTTCATACAAAGAAATAGTATGAATTACCAGAATTTCATTTTCCTAGAAACATCTTTCTCTGTGTAAAATTAATTTGTGTTATACATAGGACAAAATACTTGATTTTTTTTTGTACGTATTGACTATTCTAACATCCATGTTATAGAAAGACATACTGCTAGAATTTGCACAGTATTTTATATTACTGGGCTGAATGAAACTCAGTCATAAATTAATGTTATGAAAGTAAAAAAAAAAAATTCTAACCACACCTTTACATTTTATGGATTATCCTTCTGGATAAACTAAAAAGAGAAATGACATTGACTTCTGTGTCAGCATATTAGATACATAGCAAGTGCTTCTAGTTTATTGGAACCTTCCATTTTCCTTTCTTACAAAAATATCCTGGCATAATCTGCAACTGTGTTTCTCCAAGAGTTCTTAAATGCACTAAAAACGACTCCTAAAGAGAATCCCATGAAGAAGACAACTCCTCTTCCCCCATCATCAAAATAAGTATTTGTTATGCAATCACTATACCTAAAATACCTTGCCAGGTACCACATACCAAGTTAACATACTATTGTACAAAGAAAGCCCATGATAGACAGTCACAATAAAAACTTCCAATTATTTGATTTATCTTTTCATTTGTTTTTAATGAGGAAAGAAACAAAACTGGTAGAGAAATGAAATACTACAATTGAGTACCAGAAGCTTTCCTGTAAACTGGGAGAAACCCCAAACATATGCTAGGACAAGTTGCCAAAACATAAAGTAGTGTTTGTCTTCTAGCAGCTAAAAAGTAAGTTGGTAGCTTTGTAGATTACAAGGACAAGAAGAAACCCAAGGCTCAATTTTACGTGTTGCATAACTTTTCCAGGAAAAAGATGTGGAGACTCGGGTTCTATAATAACGTTCATATGATTGAGTGTCAGCAGGGGGCATATACTATGTAGAGACCAGTCAGAACTATAAGCTAGCAGGCCCTTATGAACAGATGTATACGGTATTCGATTTATTTGTATTACATAGAAAAGTTTGTTTTAGTCCATCAGTGCTAATTATTGACATCTGTTTGGATTCAAAGATTTGACCCAGAAGAGAATTTTGACACAGTTCAGTGTTCATGACTAAATAATCCTTCTACTATCTGAACATTTCCTGTTTCCATTTTATTTTCAGTCAAGGAATAAACAATCAAAAATTGTTCAGCCTGGGAAAAGGGCAGGGACCTGAAGGGGAAGGAAAAGCTCTTGCATATTTTTCCTACTGCTTTGTTGCTTGCCCTTCACTTCATTTTTCTGCTGTTCTCCATCAGGATCTGTGGCAGGTTGTGAGAGTGGCTGGAAGGTGGATATGTCAGGACTAAGTGAAAGATTTGGATTTGAAATTTTACTTTAAGCAATATTATGCTGTAACTGAAAAAAGCTGTTTTCAGTTTTATTTCAAGGGAGCCTCCCAATAGGAAAAAACATGTCCAATTAACACTCTTGTGCAGATATCTTTGATATCCAAGCAGCAAGAGGGAGAACCATGGTCTGACTGTGCTTTTCCCAAAACTGCAGGTTCTGCATGACTTTGTAGAGTCACTAAGAAAGAAAGCTGTGACATGAATTTTACATCTGGAGAAGGCATGGAGCCCCCGATGGTCATCCTCCCACACAGAACCCATACAATGATAGCTTTAAGCATCAGCTAGCTGGATTTGGACCAAAACTTGTGGGGCAATACAAACCAGATTGTCAACAAGACTCTCCTTAAAGACCAGTGACATCTCTGATCAGCTTCTCAACATGAATTACTTTTTCTTTTTCATCTAACAGTTTTCTTACACTAGCAGGCAAGTTATCATATACAATGTACAAAAGTTCCTTTGCATAAATAACAACTCGACCATTTTGACATTATGTATATCTTCCCACATATTCCTTAATGAAACAGTTATTTTTTAATTGAACCATTCTGGTTTAGAAAACTCAGGATAGCCTGAATATGTTATATGATATTGCTATATTGCTGCCAACTGCCACTAGCTAGTCATTTATCAATGCCCCCTAACTGGTCTCTCAGCAGAGAGGCATGGGGAGAATATTTTGTACAAGCAGTGACAACACTGGTAACCCCTCTGCCAAGACCTTTCTAAAGCAAGTGGCAGTTGCACAAGTGTCAGGCTCAAGAGCATACAAACAATGTGGAGTCAGCTTTCCCAACCTGCCTTTATTTGGGCCACACCTGACTCTTGCTGTTTGGCTCTTGGCTACAGATTATACTGTCATTCTGAGAAGAGCTATGATTCCCAGGGGAGACATTTCAAACATCAAGAAGGGGTGCCAGTGATCTCCTCCTCTGCCAGGCCACTTGTCATTTTGGGTTTTTTGTCTGTTCTCCCCATTGAGGCTGTCAGCCTATTGAGATGTGCCCAATGTGGCCTGGTTCAGCATCCAGCAGCATCTTGGCAGATGCTGATGGTGTGGAATGCACCTGCCACCTTTGGATCTTGATGCCCAGCACCCTTGCTTTGTGCCAGAGGCTCTGTAGCCTGTGGGATTCTTTGGTGTGTCAAAGTAGAACTGTCTTCCCAGGGAATGGCACATGGTGGGCTCTCAGACAAACTAGAGGAGCTCGTCCTTATTTCTAAAGAAGGAGACAAGCATTTCACACATGAGAATTAGAAAAAAAGGGAGCTCACATTGCATATACCTCAAGCTGGTAAATGAACTAAGGAATGGAAGAAGAGGAGGTGGAACCATCCTTTGAAAGCTAAAGGAAATGAGCCCTGGCAGTCAGACCCTAAAAGAGTATGGGTGTGCCTGCAAAGGCAGTGATTCCTCCACCCCCGTGTGCTGAGCGAACTTGGAAACAAATCTAACTCCGTGGTTTGGCATTTACCTCTTTGGGAATGACACCACATTGACAAAGAAGCTGCTACATGAGGTACAAGCTGCAGAGCACAGTCACATTGAAGCAGCTCAGCACTACTACTAGGTACACAGGAAGGAAGAGACATGGAAGCTGGAATCTGAGACCCAAGACACAAGAAGAAGGCAAGTGAAGAATCCGGATGATGACCGAAGGCTGAATACCCGTAACAACAAAAATCTCCAAGTTGTGCTTTTCTTGTTTAAATAGAATAAGTAGGAGAAAATGGAAGCACCATCAATTGTGAGGCTGAGAACAACAAAATGTCAGAGTCAGACACTCTGGAATGTTAACAGATCATGAAACTAACTCTCTAAAGAGTGTGGCTAGGCAGCTTAGTGAATTAATTGCTTATGAACTAGAAATAAATTATTATAAAATAGATTTCTGTACATTTTACATACATATAATCTCTCTCAATATATAAGCCACATGGTAAGTTACACAGCCTGAATCTGTTCAGTTCCAGCCAAAGTCATGCCCAGTCATCTGATAGAACTTGAGGTTGAAGGGCCTGTAGAAGTCCCTCAGTCTTTGCACCACCTCTGGGTCGATCTCAGGGTGGGTCCTGCCCTTGGTCTTGCCCAGGCAGTGGGGTTTGCTGCTGCCCTCGGCCTTCTTGAGGCAGGGGAAGCCCTTGGTCTTGTTGAAGTAGAAGTGCTTGTCAGTGATGATCCTTTTGAGGCCCAGGAAATCCTGCACGCGCCCCAGTTCACCCGCGGGGTCTCGGATAAGCCGCTCCCCACTCACAAAGAGCATCTGACGCAGGGGGAAGTGCAGCAGCCAGTGCTCCAGGTGCTTGGCGTAGAGGCCGATCTGGATGGCGCTCCATGAGGTGTCAATGAGGCCAGTCGTCTGGTTTCTGAACGTCAAGCTCTCAAAAGTGGGGATGTCGGGCCGCTTAGACAGCGTCTGTGTGTAGTCTGAGATGGCTCTAGTCACAGGGTCACGCACCACCACGATGAGCTTAGTGTCCTTAGACATGGCCGAGATGCGTGCCGGTGCCTCCCGTGTGACAAAATAACTGGGTGTCTTCTCCATGGTGATCTGCCCATCCAGGGTTCTTGGCATCAGGTCCCTGAAAAAAGCAAACAAACCAAACTCAGGTGAGAAGGTGATGCCTCCTTGACCACACATCTCAATGTCAACACTCCCAGTCCTATCCTTTATTAAAAACCAGTTGTCAACAACTTGATTCTGCCTCTTGGTGACCCATGTGTATCTGAATAGAACTGTGCTTCATAGGTTTATAATGGCTGAGGTTTTTCAGAAATATGTAGATAACCAAACCTTTCTTCTGAGGTACCTCTATGGGGACATGAACCACCAAGCACTGAGTTAGCTATCAAACCCATTAACCACTTGCACCACCCAGGGACAACTCCTTATTACTGGGAACAATTGTAGAAACATGTAAAAATACAAGTAGAATTTTAGAGCTTAAAAGTAGACCAACATTCCACCTGACATTTTGGGGCCATGTACTATCTATCTGAAATGTGAAGGCATTTTTGTCCAAGGTGTCAAAAGAACAAGAAACATGTTTCTCCAAGATGCATGTAGATGCTGTAGGTGTCACATCTCCCTTACTTTCCAGAAGATCCAGACTTTAAAGATTTCTTAGTCACTGCCTACCACCCTGAGGGAGCCAGTTGTTGGACCCATGAGCTTGGGACTATGGTCACAGGGGACATCAAGCTTAATTGGCATAACATATTACACACAAAACATTGTTCTACATCCTACTTTAGTAAGCTGTGACTAGGGTCTTAAAAACTTACAAGTGGCCCTCTAGATGCAACAGTGGGTCTCTACTCATCTGAAGCAAAGAAGAATGAAGAAAATCAAAGATTCATGGTAACAATTAGTCCAAGGGCCTAGGGGAGCATGCAAACCTCCACCTATATGTCAATGAGACCAGAAGAACTAGATGGTTCCCAGCTACTACTGTCAACCACCTAGAAGAGATCAGTGCAGGAGATGCTGGATAGAGTGGGAGAACAATGTGGAACAAAAATCAAAATCATAAAAAAAAAAAAAAAATTGACCAGGTTTACCTGTCTGATAGAGACTGGTGAAACCCGCAAGACTACAGCCCCTAGTCACCCTTCAGGCCTGAAATTGAACTTACTCCCGTGGCTTCCACTCAAACAAAAAACAGGCATATAAGGTGAGCATTTACACCAGGTAGGTACATTCCTTAGAACAATCATCATGGGAGATCAGAAGGGCAGTATTTGCACAGGGAAATAGTTCAGAGGGCAGGAATGCATAGGAAAGAAGGACATAGGCAAAGGAAACTATAAGAAGGAAGTGTTTCCTTATGAGGATTGCAATCAGTGTCACAAAACAAATTTAAAAAAAGTCTTGCTTTACCTCTATGAATTTTTGGCCTTTGGATATATGTCTTTCCAAAATAGCAGCATCTGGGGCTCCTGAACACTTGCCTGCCCATGAGTTCTCTCTATCCAGCCTTCAAATGCTCATCAAACTGGGGCTCTTGTGCCTGGGCATTAGAAGAAAATGTTTCCCTGAACATGCATCACAACAACCACTGAAAACATTCATACCTGAGAGCAACCAAGCGTGTCATAGGCAAAAAATCATAGGCGAAATCAGACGAAGCATCAACTGATGCAAAAACGCCAAGAGGAGATTAATGAGACTCAACTCTAGAGGTTTCAAAAAAAATACCTTACATTCCATTCCAAAAGAAAATACTTATGTGATATCTATCACAGCATTAATTCAAACCAAAGTATGCAAGGCTGGTGATTCAAACCCACCCAGCAACTCCACAGGAAGCGGTTTCTGTAAAGATTCAAAAAAAAAAAAAAGCAAAAAAAATTGAACTCACTGCCATCGAGTTGATTTTGACTCATACTGACCCTCATTGGGTTTCCAAGGCTGTAAATCTTTATGGAAGTAGATCACCTCAGCTTCCTCCCACAGAGCAGCTGATGGGTTTGAACCACTGGCCTTCTGGTTGGCAGCCAAATGCCTTGTTCACTACACCACCAGAACTCACTTACTGCCATTGAGTCGGCTCTGACTCATAGTGACCTCTCTTTGGGTTTCCGAGGTGGTATCTCTACAGAAGTAGATTTCCCAATCTTCCTTCTGAGGAGTGGCTAGTGGGTTTGAACTTCCAGTCTTCTGGTTAGCAGTCAAATACCACCAGAGCTCCCAAGAAAACCCTCTGGAGCAGTTCTACTCTGTAACACATGGGTCGCAATGACTGCAAATATGATTCAACAGCAAAGGGTTTGGGTTTTTCGGTTTATGCAAACTTATCTATAGTAGATACAGGCCATGATATTAGGACCAAAAAAGTAGTTTTGCAGTGGCAATTGGAACTAAAAATAATGAGACTGCGGTGTAGTGAATTACCTGGTATGGCTTTTCCAGCCATAAGTCTTTGTGAACTCCGTGATGGAATTTGCTGTGAGCAACTGAGGAGCTCCTGATTGTAAATGTTATCCACCTGGGGTATTTCTGTTGGGCGTGGCTCAAAGCAATGTTCTGGGAATTTCCCTCTCTCTCAGGTGCTTAGTATTCTGATGTTATGATTGGCTAGTTTGGCCACTCTGCCAGGCTCAAAAGGAGACCTCCTAGAGGCAGAAGTCTCTCTGACTCTGGTGAGGAAGGATGTACTGCTGAGAAGGAACGTGCTCCTGAGAGACACACACTGCTGTGAAAGAGACACAAGAGCCACACATTGCTGAGAGAGACACCGAGGGACACGCACTGCTGGGAAAGAGACTGTGAGAGACTGTTGGGTGAGAGACAGCTGGCTGAGAGAGACTGAGCATTTTTCCTGAACTTGAATTGTAGCCTGGTGCTTCCCCAATAAACCTTATAATCTGTGAGCTCTGTGTGGCCACTGCAGCAAATTATTGAACCCAGCAGAAAGAGTGCTGTGGGAGGAAACGTTGGTGTCAGGGTTGGTGAAAGGACTGGAGGGAGGTAGCATGTCTGGCCTCACAATAATGGGCCTTGGGCACTGATAGTAATTCTGTTTTCCTCTTGTGTGGTTAGAGGAGGTCAGAAGATGTGGCCTCCTTGCCTTTTTAGCAGTGACTCAATGATATAAGACCTTGGTTATAAGAAATTAATTTAAAAGGCACAGGAATATAGCTGTCAGGATGCAAATGCAAGTTATTACATAACTTCTCTATTATATCAGGGAGCTCTGGTGACATAGTACCTAAGGGATTTGATGGCTAATGAGAAGGCTGGTTAACCCACCAGCACCCCTCTTGGAAAGAAGGTTCGGCAATCTACTTCCGTAGCAATACTGCCTTGAAAACCCAAGAAGGGGTTGCTATGAGTCAGATTTGACTCGACGGAAGTGAGTTTGGTTTTTGGTTTTCTGTTATATCACTATGCAGTTGCTGCTATAAAATGTATGGCCAACAGAATCCTCACCAGAAGGTTGGGAGTCTGTTGATGCTGCTAGTCTACTCTATAGAACACTTACAAGGAAGTCCAAATTAACTAGCTAGACACTAAGTTTTGGTCACAGGTCTACAGTCTTCCATTAGCCATGGGATTGATAGAGATTTCTGGTTTATTCCTACCTGGGTACTGCTCTAAGAAATATGAACAATACCAAGAAAGACAAGCGAGGGGTAAGATGGGAAAATAGGAGAAAAGGAATGGTACACATGGGGAGAAAGGTACACATGGGGGAGAAGTGAAACATAAAAGCAAGTGTGAAAACCAGAACTAGATGATGCCTGGCTACCAATGCCAACCACTAGGAAAGGGATCAAATCTGGAGATTCTGGATAGAGTGTGAGTAAAAATGTGGAACAAAATTCAAAGACACAAAAATGACCAGAATTACTGGTCAGCTAGAGACTGAAACCCTCGAGGCTATGGCCCCAGGTTATCCTTCAGGCCTGGAAATGGACTCACTTCTGTGGACTGGCTCTCAGCACAACAGCAGAAAGACCTATAAGCAGGACACCTACCCTAGGAAGATATACTCACTACCCTAGAGAGATGCACCCCTTAGAACAATGAGCCATGAGACATCAGAGGGGCAGCATTCACATAGAGGGAAAGCTGGAGAGACAGGAATGCACAGATAAGAAGGACACAGAGAAGCAGTAGGGGAGGAGAGATTTTTATGGTTGTGGATTGTACCAGGACCATGAAAGCAAATGTGCATGAACTGTTGAGAATAAAACAAATCTGCTTTGTAAATTTGCACCCAAATCACAATTAAAAAAAAAAAAAAATTTGCATGATAAATAAATATTGAATTTTGTGTCCTCTAAAAAAAAGAAAACCAAGTGTGAAAACAAAACACATTCCTATTTAAGGTTTTGCTGCACCTTGCGAGATGGGAAACTGAAGGACCGGGAGCTATAACAGTGTAGGTGAGACATTCTCCTGGGAAACAGATTCCAGGTGTGTAAAGGCAGGCACTCTATTGACCTCATCCTGTTGCATCCCTACCAGCTATTGTAGTGTCTAAGACAAACTGTCTAAGACAAACCAAACCCACTGCCACTGAGTCAATTCTGACTCATAGTTACCCCCACATCTTTCTCCCATGGAGCCATTGGGTGGGTTCAAACCACAGACCTTTGGGTTAGCAGCTCAGTGTTTCACCACTGCACCACAAAATCTAAGAGAGTAGCAGGAGTTTAATAAATGGGTGGGGCAAATGGTTAGCACACTCAGCTGCTAACTGAAAGGTTGGAGGTTTAAGTCCATCCAGAGGTGTCTTGGAAGAAAGGCATGGCAATCTACTTGTGAAAAATCAGCATTGGAAACCCTATGGAGTATAGTTCTACGCTGACACATATGGAGTTGTCATGAGTTAGAGCTAACTTGATGGCAATTGGTTATTTTGTTAATAAATATATATTGACAGAATGACTGGATAAGTGGTCTGACTGATTAATGAGCCCTAAATATTAAAGGTTAAGAATATGGGCTTTCGTATAAATGGGTCTGGTTTTGAGGCCGTTCTCTACCACTTATTAGCTGTGTGACCAGGAAGCAAGTTACTTACCCTCTCTGAGCCTCAGTATCCTAATATGTAAAATAGTAAGAATTCCACCT